CCCAGAATTCTGGGAGTTGAAGTCCACACATCTTAACGTGGCTGAGGTTGAGAAACAGTGGTATAGTTCACACATCTTAACGTGGTATAGTTCACACATCTTAACGTGGCTGAGGTTGAGAAACAGTGGTATAGTTCTTTATAAAGGAGGAAGGAGGGATGGGTGGAGATAGCAACTAATAATAAAAAACCTCACACTCCTATTACTGTAACCACCAGGGGGAAATATTGCTTTTTTTCCCTGCTGTCTACGATAGAGGATACTGCTATTTATTTTTTTTTAGATTTTTAAAAACCCGCCTTTATTATTTTTATAAATAGCTCAAGGCGGCGAACGTACCTCGTACGCCTTCCTCCTCCTGTCGTCTATGCTCATCAGAATCATATTTTGAAAAGAAACTTTGAAAGGGCTTCCTAAAGGGTGGAAATGTGAATTTTATTTTATTTTTTTAAGTGTTATTACGGTAGAGGACACTGGGTTCACACAGTGTGCTGAAACCATCATCTGCCAACGTTTGGGATTATTGAACATGTGAATGAACTCCGGGGATTGTTGCTTAGGTGAGGTAGCTTAGTGTGAGGTATGAAGCTGGTAGGTGTGAATGATCTTTGCCTCTGGATGCAATTTCTCTTGGCTATCAACTCCTTTTTCTATATTCTAAATTTATTCTAGGTTTCTATCTTCTATATTTATTCTCTATTCTATTTTTTTTTTCTATTCTCTTCTATTGATACCTTTTTCTATAGTTGCTCCGCAACACTTTGGAAACTAACCACACTGGAGACAGTAACCCAGGCTGACTGACGTGCAAATAAGGGATTTGGGTCTAAGGAACTGAATGGAGGATCCACTACAAATATCCTCCGTCTTGTCCGTGGGGATAGTATTGGCCTACCTTGGAAGACTGTTGCAAGGTGACTGGGGCAAAAAAGGTCACCAGTCCTAGCTTTCACTTCTGTCCTTCTTGGCAACTGGAGAGTTGGCCATGATTCCATACCTCCACTGCTGGAATTGCTCCAAGGAGGGGATGAGGTTGGGTTCTTCCTAATGGTCTCACCTAAATTAGGCCTCCTTTCCTTCCACTTGGAGCTACCCAAAGAAACATTGCTGTGGAACTGAGTGAGGTTGGACTTGTACGTTGAATAGTCAAGCTTTTGTCGATGGCTCAAGGCCACTCATTTCCACGGCGAGAGGCCAATTCTTTGGCTGACCCTAGGCTTCTCTCTCCTCCTCCCCCAGCTCCTCCGTGGTCCTCCCTGCTTCTTTAAGAGAATGTCACAGGCTTGCTCCAGAAAGATCTCTCAACAATACACTCAGAGTTAATCACTGTTCCTTGAAATTGGATTTTGCCATGCTGCTGATCGGGCGGTTGGGCAAGCAACGCAGAGAGCTATCATTCCAAGCGGTCCAGGCCACGTGAGCAGGTGGCTCCAGAGAACTCCTCCTCCTCCCTTTTCAGGACCATGGAAGGCCGGTCCACAGACTGCAGGAAGAGGCGCTGAAAGCCAGATCCATCCCAGGGAAAGGGAGTCCCCCTAAGGACGAGGTGGAACTGGTACCTAGATCACCACCACCCTTCCGCTCTTTCCAGTCCAGTCGAGCCTAAGGTTGTGTTCCCTGGGTGACCTTCCTGGCAGCAGGAAGGAGACCGTTCTGGGAACGAGGCAGTGTGAAGAACACAGAGCAGGCACACCCTTCTGAGCATCTCTTGCACGTACAAGAGGAAACAGCTTGCCAGTTAGTATTTGCATGGGCTCTGGCTGGCAAAGGTTATTCACGTTTCTAAAAATGCTTCTTCAGGCATTTGTGCTTACAGAATAACGTTGCCTCTTCGCCGTGTCCAATTCCAGTGAACTGGCGCAGATGGCCTGAATTCACAGTATTGCTGTTCTGCTAAAAAGAGAAACCCCCCAAGGTTGCATCATTTCACTCCCCTGGGGCTGGTCTTCCTTTACTTCCATTACAGGAAAACACACATACAGCTTTGAAAGTAGAAAAATATTTTATTGGCAAATTCAAATATAAAGAAAAGGCCCCCTCCAATCTCCTTTTTCTAACATGGGTATGATCAGAGGATCTTCGTTTTCAAGTACTGGTTCCCATAAAAGGATAGATGCTAGCTGAGACAAGGGAAGGGGTGCTCAGGGAGCAGAAAAGTTAGTATCAACCAGAACAGAGGATACTGCGCTAAATGAGTCAAACCCTGAGTTTGTCTAGCCCAGTGTTTCCCAATTTTGGCAACATTAAGATGTGTGGACTTCAATTCCCAGAATTCCCCAGACAGTATACTGGCTTGGGAATTCTGGGAGTTGAAGTCCATGCCTGCTGGCTAGGGAATTCTGGGAGTTGGAAGTCCACACATCTTAATGTTGCTGAGGTTGGGAAACACTGGGCTCTATCCAGTACTACCAAACAGGGCTGACCCTACCATAAGGCAATTCTTCAGGGGATACCAAGATGGACCACCAATTGAAGCCATGATGCCAGCTAGCACAGCCCTTCTTAGCCCTACACAGAAGGAAGGTGAGTGCAAAGGTGATGGCCGATCCTCCTAGCCACCATTTCGTGCCAACTAGCCACGATTCTCCAGGATTTCAGTTAGAAATCTTTCCCACTACCTCCTGGAGATGCTGGGAGTTGAATCTAGGGTCCCCTGCATACAAAATGGAAGCTCTAGTCAAGTTGTCCCTCTGACTTAAGATTAGGCCGTCCCTATTTGTCCCATTCAAGGGCCATTCCGCCTTTTCTTCCTTTCCAATCATCGCAACCCCACTGACTCATTCGCCAGCTCTACAACTTCCTCCGATGACTAGGATCTGCCTGGGAATTTCTGAAATTTCACTCCTTAAGACGTGCCCAACATTCTACCTAGCCAGCTCGAGCCTTCCGGAAGTCCCCCAAGTCTCCCCTTCTTTTCCATCGTTCTCAATGTTGCCGTCCTTCCCTCATTCCAAGGCAATGCCAGGGCGAGTCAGCCGCATTTCTTCAGCACTGTTATGATGACAGAACTGGGAGAACTGACAAAGTGAGTCAGCTCTCCTGGGTCTTAACGGGAAAGGGCTGTTTGGGGGTTTGAAAGAGTTGGCTTCCTTCGAGCTCTAGTACCATTTGCTCACGGGTGTGCACTTCATGATCTCACCACTGGACGGAGACACAGCACCACAGCTGCTTGCAGCTTTAGCAATTTCTAGGAGAGCGTGTGTGCACGAAATCACGGCTCCTTAGCTGCTGCTGCTGGTAGCGGTCATTTAAATTTAAATGATGTGGAAACTAGGTAAGATCTAATATGGTGGGGAGGAATCCACTTATGGGGGGACAAAGGTAGAAGGGGTTAAGGAAAATGTGATTTTTATGCTTGGCATGCCTAGTTCCTACTGGATCACACTCACTTTCCTTGTCCCACCACGACGTCCCCAATTCATTCCACAAAACCTACACTGATGTTTGATCCCCAAAAGACTACGTGTGTCAAATACACACTTGTGCAACGAGGGGTGTCTTGGGGGAGGCTCACAGCTGCCAACCTTTTTTTGCCCCCATCTGCAACGTCCCTGCACACAATTCAACCCCTAAAGCTGTAAACAGTTCCCACAAACCCGACGAAAGATGCCACCGTGTTGCAATTCCTAATAAAATAGATGCAACAAGTCTTAAATACACGTGGAGTAACTGTGCTAACTGCATTCAATTAATTTAATGCCTGTTAAATACAAAGAACACATTCAATCAACATTTATTTTTACTCCACGAAAAGGATACCTCCTGCATGTCATCGAAAGTCAAGTATGGCCCTCAGCTGAGAGGAGTGTGCAGCCCTGCTTTGCTACAACACGAAAGCAGCAGGTCGGCTTCGGATTTTGCATTTCACAGCTGCTCTCCTTGTCCTAAAATATGACCCTTGAACGCTCACCCCCAAAAATGGTCCGACCCAGGATCTGCTACGGCAGCGGTGTGAGGTACATTCAAAGAGATTGGCAGGGAGGGAGGGAGCGGTTGGTGGATCAAGCAGACCAGTGTTGGCTTCGACAAAGTTTGCAGTGTCATCTCAGGCTTGCTGCGTTATGCTACATGTCAATTTGAAAAGTCCACAGCAAACATGTACACATTTCAGGCTGGAAATCCACAGTCACAAAGCCCAAAGCCCTCGACACTCCGCCTCATTCTGCTGCCTTGTGAAATGGTCCTTGGGAAATCTTCCTGTTCCAGAAAGCAGCTGAATGTCTCCTCCCTTCCTCTTGTCAGCTGCCACCAGGCACACTGTCACCGCTACCGAGCCACTGCCCTTCGCAGCCAAGGACTGCTGGACCTTCGGACTCCAGCAGCATCTGTGATTGGTCCATCCCTGCGCACCTCAGGGGAATCCGACTGGCCAGGGGCCCTGAGGGCAGGGACATGACAGGGTGGTTCAGGCCAACTGGAAGCAGCTGGAGATGATGGGACGAGAGGGGATGGCTGGAAGGAGCGAAAGGATACAGAGCAGTGTGGAAGGCAGGATCAGTCATGTTTTCTCGCAGGAGGACCTTGGAGGTCCTTGGAAATCCCATTGGCTGCTCTAGGGTGGATGAATTTGAGCTCCTCTCCAAGTCTACTCCAGGCAGTGGGGCAGATGCTGAAGGTCCATTAGTCGAGATAATGCTTTCTGGTCTCAGACTGGCTGAGTTGGGAGATTGCCCTGCCCTATGGGCCTTTGGGATCTGATCAGGGCTGGGAATGGCGGGGCAGGATTCAGGGGAAGCATGCAGCAAGTCTGAAGGGAGACAAAAGCACTGTTAGTAGGGCTATCAACTGATTAAATATGTTCAGATTGGATTTCACGATTGATTACCGTGCACCAAATGGGAATTCATTATGGATCTGTGCATTGCATATCATTCTTGGGGGCAAACTGTTTTGAGGAACATCAACATGGGCCATTGTTCTTCTTGACCACATGATCTAATAGCTGTTCCACCCCCACCCCCCCAGAACAGTTGGATTGGTGTGGTTCAGGAGGAAAACAGAACATTTTCTTGTTCCTAAATTCTAAGTTTTGCATACAAGTAGAATGAATGCTGTAGTGATAAAGGCACCAGGCTAGAATCTGGGAGACTGTGAGTTCTAGTCCCGCCTTAGGCATAAAGCCAGCTGGGGGACCTGGGGCCAGTCCCTCTCTCTCAGCCCTGAGAAGGAAGCAATGGCAAACCACTTCTGAAAAACCTTGCCAAGAAAACCGCAGGGACTTGTCCAGCCAGTCTCCAGGAGTCAACAATGACTCAAAGAGACCAAAAACAGAATGAATGGGTTTAGAACTCAAACGTCAATCCATACATTTTTCCAGAGATACTGAAGAAAGCGTAAGATAAGAATCTCCCTCAAGTTGAGCTCATCTGCTGATGACTACACGGATATCTATTTCCTTGGCAACGAAATACAGACGTGATTTACTACTGTCTTCTTCTGACTTCCCAGTCTAGTCCAGTCCTGGAATTCTTTACTTGCTTCCCATCAAAATATGAAAGGAAACCCAACTCTTTTGAGATCAGCCAAGCCTGTGAAGATGTTGCCATCAATTCTGACAAATATAAAACAGCGGCCATAGCCTTGTCAAAGACATTGAAGTTGGATTTCATAAGGCCCCCACCAAGTGCTTGCTTGCGTGCTTGCTTGCGTGCTTGCTTGCTTGCTTGCTTGCTTGCTTGCTTGTTTATTTATTTATTTATTTATTTATTTTCTACCATCGCTACGATAGGAAATAAATAAATCACAAGTCACCCGTAGCCACACAAAAATAAAAACAAGACCAAGGCTTGCCAAAACAACTAACGCAATAGCAACAAGACCTTAAAAATATCCTAAGCGAGCACATCTGGTTAAATAACCTAGCAGCGCGTATGTACTGTGATCCCAAAACCCGGTGAAAGAGAAAGAGAGGACCATTTTTAAAGGTAATCATATTTAGAAGGGCATTATTTAAACTAAATAATATACAGATCGAAGGGCAGCGTCTTAAACACGGAATCTAATTCTTCCCTTTTTGGGCTATTTCCAACTTGCTAATGTCCACGGTTGTGCTCCCTTCCCGCCCGGTTTTTAATCTGGACCAAGCGGGCAGTTGAAGAAGGGGACGAAATCCGGGCTGCCTATTTGGGCGAGCATACTCACGGGTATGGGTCCGAATGCCAGGGGAGCTAGCAGCACTGATTGTGGGAGATGATCCATCAGGGCTGTTTTCGGGTTGTGCAACAGGCCGAACAGCTTTTCCTCTCAAGATGTCAATCGCCTAGTGATTGGAAAGAGGGGGAAAGGTGTCATGACCTGCTCTTAAAAGACGGTCTCTTGTGTCTCCTGGATCCTTAATGATCCCCAATGCAAGCATTCTCCCCAAAGGATCAACAAAACCAACCATGGAGAACCTGTAGGGTTCCAGATGTTGTTGAACTACAATTCTTAGCATCTCCGGTCAGGGCTCTTCAGTGACTGGAAAAGTTTTAGCTGCGGCCACTTCCCGCCTACTGCTTCCTTTTTAACGTTATTTTTGCAAACCAGGAAGACAGAGAAGGAGAAGGAGTAGCTGTTAGAGAGAAAAGTGAGCTAGTACCTAACCAAGGATTATTTTTAAAAAGAGGGAATAATAATTGTGGGATCTTGAGGAAAATGCAAGCATTTCAAACGTCCGTATCTAACACTTCTCTGTAGAATGCCATTTGCATAGATGGACATAATCTGCTTGGAAAAACATTAGTATAAATAATAAATGGTGACCAAATTTGGCATTCAATAGAGAGGTTTCCAACTTTTTTTTTTAAGTATCACTAATCCAGTGAAAGTAGAAACCGATGGTAATTGGGACCAAGAACTCCCTCGCTAAGTGACGCGGTCGGAAAGCGTGACATCATGTGACTGCACTACTTAGTGATAGCAGTTCTGGCATTTCCAGTTGCCATTGTTAAGTGAATCACTGTGGGTCGGTAAGTGCGATATCACGTGACTGCAACCTGTGACCTCCTGCTGTCTTCCCCATTGACTTTGCTGTGTGATTACAGGACGCTGCGATGTTGTAACTGCCTACTGTTTGCTAAGTGCCCAAATCACAATCCTGTAACCACAGGAATGCTGTGATGGCCACAACTATGAGGACCAGTCGTAAGTACCCTTTGTTTGGTGTTGTTGTAACTTCAGTCACTGAATGAGTGGACGTTAAATGAGGACTACCTGTAACACTTTAGTTTTCCAGTGTTTTGCCATAGGCAACTTAGCAGCTGATAATAAGGACATAAGTTCTGAGTAAATTCCACATAAGATACGGAGAGGAGGGCCCAATTTTTCTCTGTGGCCTGGGTACTTATCAGCAGGAATGTTTTGTTTCAAGCAAGGTTGGCATCTGGTCAGTCATCACAAGTCATCTCTAGATAGGGCTTAAAAACACTCCACCCCCCACCCCCCAACTCATGCAATAATGAATCTAGATGATGATTCATGGGGAAAACCACCTGACACAAACCTCACTACAATTACACAGAAGATGCACCTCTTGTGTTGTACAGGTAGCCCCCGGGTTAAGAATGCTTGGTTTAAGAATGGCCCATAGTTAAGAACAGAGCCTATTATAGCAACATTTGAATTAAATACACAATGATTTGAATTAAATACACAATGGTTGGAGTTCATTCCACGATCCTACTTATACAGTGTTATACAATAATCCTGTTCTGGCTCGCATACAAATTCGACTTAAGGACAGACCTTGGGAACGGAACTTGTTCTTAAACTGGGGACTCCCTGTACTGTTGTTAACTTTGAGGAAATGGTTTAACCAGTTCAACCTGAATGACATTCCCTCATCTTTAAAATCTGAGTTCTCTTCCTGTCCTTTGCTACAGAGAGCAAATAATCGCTTTGTGTCTCTCCTGAGGTCCTTGTCTACAGTCCTGGAATAATTTTTTCCTTAAGCTAAATATTTACACACAGTACACAGACCGTTGGACACACCAACAGATTCAATTTTCTTTCCTTTCCCTTACCAGCCAGCCTTGCACATTTATTGAGTTGTAAACATTTATGTGCCGCCTATTCTCATGATTCTTCACCATTTGGCCCCTTTTCTCTAGAATTTGGTCTCTGGTTTGTCTGTAATTACGATGTATATACACTGAAAACAATGGTGGACCCCACTTTCCAGACTTCAAGCTGTAGTAATGAATTTCAGGGTCTGGATGACTCCTGGGAATGGAGTGGTGGGCTGCTCTGACTCAGAGTTTTTATTTATTTGAAGAAGGATGGGAGACTGCATTTCTTGGACCCCTCAGAAAAGGGATTCAGGGGCCAATTCGCATTAGATTAGGACTGGGGAGGCCTAGGTTCAAATCCTCCCTAGCTGAGAAGCACAGAATAACCTTAAGCCAGGCGCAAAAGTGTTCACTGAGTCTCTTCTGATAGGACTGCCATGACCACAAAATGAAGATGGGAGAACCTAATTACTACTTTGAAAGTAGCAAGAGACAGCACCATGAAGGGGAAAATCCAATTTTATCTTTGATGAAACTCAAATAATTCCCTGTGGATATTTCCTTGGGTCCCTCGCCCGCTCCCAACCAGTATAAACGGGCTGCGTTATCCCCATACAGACTACTACTATTCTTGATCAGACATAGGCTAATTCACTCTCCGGTATCTTCTCACCCTCTTATTCTTTGCTACCATCAAGGCAGTGTCATTGTGGTAGTTCTTCAGGCTGCCATCCGCCCCGTTCCGCACCAGAAGCCGCAGCATGTCCAGGAGACCCCTTCCACTAGCTGCGTGGAGCGCTGTATTGCCCCCGTAGGATTGAGCGTTTACGTTGGCACCATGCTGCGAAGTGGGGTACAACACAAACACGTGAGGATGCAAAACAGCTGAGATGGCAGAGATTCAACGCTCAACACGCCTGCTGGCAAAGATCTCAGGACAGGGGAGATGTTGAGATAGGAAAAGCTAGGACGGTCCTTATGGAATGGAAAACATCTGCTCAAGGATGAATTTGGGAAACTTCCACTTTGCCGGTCCTTATAATTGTAGGCCGGACTGGTTTACAACATCCCTTCTTAGGCTGAAAAGCGGGATGACAACATTTCTGCCACATGGTTTGTCATACTGCAAGCTGAAAACTATGGTCAACGTGAACAATGGTTCGTTACAAACAGCCTTCCAAGTCATGGTTGCTGAGCTGTTGTGTAGAGACACAGTTTATGATAATCGTATTTATTAACCCAGATGACAGAACGAATTATGGTTATGCAAAAGTGGAAGCCTTTCAGTGTTTCTCAGACTTGGCCACTTTAAGATGGGTGGACT